CCTGCCCGGCCCCCGCCGTTTCGGCTAAGGCAGGGAGCAGGGCACACCCCCCGCCGGCAGGCTGACAGGCTGGGGGGGACCCCGGGCTGCCCTGCGTTGAGCCGTGGTGCTCAGAGCAGCATCTCATCCCCGTACGTTGGAGGTTATGGGGCTCCCTGGGTCTGTAAGGAGCCAGCCCCTCAGCTGTGCCAGCGGGAGCTGCCATCCCACCCTCGCACTGGAGCAGAGCACTCTGAGCACCTTCCCCGCAGGGCTCTGTGCTCCAGCTAAACCCCCAATCAGCTCCACCTGCCTCCCCAAACTCCCCTGCAAAGCCATCTGAATGCTGCAACTCCTGTCCGTTCCTGCCCAAACGTATTGAGCCGGGGACTTCGTGCTGTTATGGTACCCGCGGGGGTGGCCACAAAGGGATGGGTCTGAGCTCTGCCCGTGCTGCGCGTCTGCTGGAGTTTGCAAAGCAGATGCTGTTGCAGACATCGGCTGCCAAAATGGTTGTGTTTCCTTCTTCCCAAAACACGGCTATTTGAATTGTGGACATAAAATGCCGAGGGCAGAGCTCCTTCAGCTGTTGGGCTTTTGAGCTTTAGTGTCTCCAGCGATGCAGAATGCTTCGAGCAGGGCAGAGGGCAGGAACACACGCTGCCGGCCGCGCCGCCCGCCTTGCTGCCGCCTGTGCTGCTGCTTGTTCTGGAGAGCGAAGTCTGGGAGCTCGCCTTGTGTTTTGCAGGAGGAGGGCTTGGAGAGGCAGCTGGTGAACCTTTTAATCGAGCTGTCCGCTGAACAGTACCTGCCAGTTTTTGCACACCATCGCATATCCTTGCAAGCGCTCGGCACCATGACTGTCAGTGACCTGGAAAAGGTACGAGACAGCAGGTACACAGTGCAGGATGAGACCGGCTCTGCACTGGGACCGAACCTGTCCTTGTTGTGAGCCCGGCCGTGCTCACAGCTGTGCCCATGGTCTGGCAGGAGGGAGTTGGTGCTCCCAGTGTGTCACCTCCCAGCAGGGAGAGGTGTCATTGCTGCTCTGTGCCCCGTCTGAGTAGGCGAGAGCTCTCCCAGCGCAGGGTGAGCTGTGGCTTGCCTCTGTCATTCGACATCCCTCGGATGCTCTTTGTAGTAGACATGGTGCCAGGAGCATTCCCTTATCTGGCTTTGTCGCCTGGCAGAGGTGCTTCCCTTGACACGGCTGGGTCTTGCCACCGAGGCCCAAGAGTTGGCAGTGTCCCCTTGGGGACGTGTGTCTCCTCCTTTCCCCTCTGAGAGCTAACAGCCCTCCTCTTGCACCGCAGCTCGGCGTGACGGAGGCTGGCCTGCAGCGTGCCATCCTCAAGCGAGCTCAGGAGATCCTGGCCGTGGCCAAGACGATCCCAGGTACCACCAGTTCTTTTCCACCTACTCTTTGACACTGGCAGCAGTGCCTGAGCCTTGAGTGGGAACATCTGCGGGACCCAGCGCCTCCCTTTGGGGAGCGGAGCCACGCAGGCTGGTGTGCGCGTAGGCGAGGCAGGGACTGCTGGCATAGCTTGGGCTGTACTGTCAGACCAGTACCGTCTACTTTCTTCTTTACCAGAGCCCCGAGCTCCCATCTGCTTGCAGCCATCCTCACTGTTAGGGTTTGAGAAACCCATAACAGTTTATTGTCATTTAGACAATCATTCTCTCACCTGATGACCCCTCCCCACCTGGGAAAGGGAATCGGGAAAAACAAGGAAACCCGGGAGGCGAAGTATAAACAGATTTAATAGAGTAAGATTAGATAATTAACATTAATAGCACCAAAGAACCAATATTGATCCCGATACCAATACAGAATGTGCACAGATTATCCTCAGCCCATTCTATCTGTAGAAGCTGTGCACTCCCAGCGGGGACAGCAAATGTGGGACACTGAGTGCTGTGGCTTCAGGTGGAAGGGAAGGGCTCAGGGCTCCGGCACCGGGGCAAGGAGTTCTCAGGATGGCGGCCATCAAGGGAGAGAGCAAACTTTCTAATTTATTGTGAATGTGCCATTCATGGTATGCAATAACCCTGTTGGCAGCTTGGGTCGAGTGCCCGGGTCTCGCTCCTCCTCATCCCCACACCTGGTGAGATTGAAAACACTGAGACCTTGAAACCCACACACCATAGCTGGCTAGAGAGTAAATATTTTCACCAATCCAGTCACTCGAGTGTAGTTTTCCCAGGTATTAGAAATTAGTCCTGTGTCGCTCAAACCAGGACACGCACGCATGTGGGGTGGGTGGGAGATGTGTGGCTCTCCTGGTGCTCAGACCTCCTGCTTGTGGTTGCAGAGCTGCTGAAGTCGGTGGACGCCGAGGTCCCTGCAGCCCCAGAACCCAGCGCTCCCTTCGAGGAGCCTCTGAGTCCTGTGGTCCCGATGGCTCCCCCGTTGCAGTGGGACGAGAAGAAGTCAGAGTGCGTTGTCTGCATGGAGCAGGAGGTGAGAGCCCGGCACACGCGTAGTGCTGGAGCAGGGGGTGGAGTGAGGGCAACACCCAGCACATCCCACCGTGTCTGTGTCCCCAGCCTGGCCCTGGGCAATGCCTGGATGCTCATCCCTCCAGCTCCGGAGGCATGGCAGCGGGGAGGCAGGCAGGGCAGCGCAGAGCTCTGTGCGGGAAGGAGCTCGCTGAGCTGCTGTGCTGGTCTGTCCGCAGAGCAGCTCTGGGAAGCGTTCGTGGGGCTGCTGGTTCAGCCCTGACCCATGTCCTTCCCTCAGGCCCATTGCACTCCTGCCCTCTGCACAGCCCGGACCCTCAGGCACGCACAGCACTGGGCTGTGCCCGGGGCCGGAGATCGGGGTGTGGGGCTCTGCCTCCCACGCTGGGACACCCCAGGGTGATCCCCATCTCCTCCAGCCCCAGTTCCTCCTGTGCTGGAATACAGCGGTGCGGGGATGAGTGTTACGGGACAGCAACACTCATCGTGTCCTCTTCTCTGTCTCTTCCCCCAGACCCAGATGGTGTTCCTGCCCTGCGGCCATGTGTGCTGCTGCCAGACCTGCTGCGAGCGGCTGCACACTTGCCCCCTGTGCCGCAACGACATCACACAGCGCATCCGCATCTTCCACAGTGGCTAGACAGGGCGGAGGAAGGTGACCCTGCCCGGCACCACCTCCGTCACCCCTTCCCGGGGTGATGCCCCTCTTCTACTCCGTGTCAGTATTAAACAGACACTCGCACAGCATGACCAGCACTGCCCTCCCCGTGCACGGCCCTGAGCTGGCTGCTGGCTGCACCCAGGACTCTCAGCATCCTCCTGCGTTCCTCGACGGCTTCTCAGCCTCTGCCTTGGGCTCCTTCTTCATCTGTGTCTCCTCCTCCTGCCTGCCCGCCTAGTGTCTAGCATCCTCTTGCCTGGGAGCACTGGGTGATTGAACTTGGGTGCAATTCTGCCCCTTCCTCTCTGGCTAATGTATTTGTCTTCAGAAATGCCCCTCGCTCAGCAGGGACACAGTTAGTGCCATCTCTGAAGCCACCATGACCTTGCAGCTCCCGCACTGTGGCCGGGGCACTGCTGTGCTCCTGCGTCCGAGTGCTGTTGCCCTGAGGTGGGTGAATCTCCCATGGGAGGACTCAGCCAGAGGCGTGTGATGCTCTGGGGACTGCCAGGGCCATGCACTTCTGTCACGCCAAAGGTCTGGGGCTTCTTCTCTGGTGCCCCAGGGCAGCGTGTCTGGAGCACTGGTGGGTCGCAGCCAGGGACAGCGGTGCCAGGGCAGGGCGAGGAGCTCCCCGACCCCTCACCCGTCCTCCTGTTGTAGGGGAGAGTCTGCAACAGCCCAAGGTCCAGGACTTCAGGGACCCGCTGTGGCCACAGGAGCCCAGTGGGATCCCTCATCCGAAAAACACAGGTTGAGCGTGGAAAGCGTTGCTGCCACCGGACAGCACCAGTCCCGTGGTGGGTGGGCTGGGGCTGTGCCTGGCGCTGCTCTGCGTGGCAGCGTGCACGTAGTGCTCCGTTGTCATTAATGAGTAACATCCCAGTCAGGCTTTTGTCTCTTGACCTTGAAGTATAAAATGCAGAGATAAGCCCAGTCCCGCTGCAGCCCTTCCCCCAGCAGAAGCTATTAAAAAGCAGCTGGTTTCTGCTGGTGGTTGTTCGCTGGCTTTTTCCTTCTGGCGGTGGTGGTGTGTGTGTGTGGGGGGTGTGCTTAAAGCCGAGGGCTGCGGGGCAATGGCAGAGCCGCCACGTGCCTGGCTGTGCTGGGGTCGTCTCCTCCTCTCCCACGTCAAACCAGGAAGAATTTGAGGATCTTGGACTTCTCTGAGGGTGTTGCTCACTGCGGAGCAGCTTTGGGGACTTCCAAGCAGGGACAGACCTTGGACCCTCCACTGGGGCCACCTTGTGTGTGCTGCGCTCGTGCAGAGCATGTGTGCGGCCTCGTGGAGGTGGCCGGTGCGCAGCGCTGGGTGCCACCAGAAACCCTGGGGGATGGAAGGCAGCGGCAGAGCCGGGCTGGGGCAGTGTGGCCTTGGCTGAGCCCTTTGGGGACGGCCCGGGGGACGCTGAGCTGCTGCATGTGGGAGGTGGCACATCCCTTCCAGGGACTTGCTGGGTGCTTGGGTGGGGACGTGACGGGAGGGGAGGGGGACACACAGACATTTGGGGTACAGTGAGGGGAGCCCCGGCAGGGATGCCTAAATGAGGTCAGGGCT